CCCTCCAATCGCGCAAATGCAAACCAAACATTATCCAAGGAAGTCAATAATGCCATAGGAAGCAATTCCAATCCATAAAGTTTCGATTTTTGAAAAAAAAATTCCAAAAGTCAACATAAGTCAACTCGGTCCCACGTGCCCGAAATCCGAAACCAATACCAAAATCCGATGACCCATAATCTGCCAAGTTCAAATATATAATTAGTTTCCAAATCTGGGTCTAAATCGATGGTCAACACCCCAAAATATATTCTCTTAAAGTGTAGACAAAATCCCAAATTTTATTTCTTAGATTCATCAATCAAATGGAAAAAACAGAGATAGAATCATGAATAATAATCAAATCCAAGGGAAGAATACTTACCAAAACCGCGCGGGTGAAAATCGACTCAATAATCGCCCCAATTCGAACTCTCTATCTCAAAATATGATAAAATAAAGCTAACCCTCGAATATAATATTCTGCCAGGCATTCTCGCTCATGCAGACTCCAGCGCAACTGCGAGCTAGCTTTTGCGACTCCCTTGCTCATATTTGCAAGTTCCAATAGCACAAGACCTCATCGCATATGAGGCCTTTCAGTCGCATCTGCAATATCTCAGGTGCGGCTCGACAAGCGTAGAAGCGCAATTCCTTAGTCCAACCAAGCTCAGCTGGTGCACATGCAACTGCAAGTGCGACTCCGCACTTGCGACCTTACTTTCACAGAAGTGGCCAACCCCTGGCCTCCCCATCTTTGCATATGCAAGCACCTCACGCACAGGTGCGACCTCACATATGTGACTAATACTCCGCAGATGCGGTACACCAGCACCATCAATGAAATCAAATCTCAAAGTGGTCCAAAATCACCCCGAAACTCACCTAAAAGCCTGCGAGACCTCATCCGATCATACCAACAAGTTAAAATACATCACATAAACCTATCCAAAAGCTCCAAACACAGTAATTAACATAAAAATCAAGAATTGTCGATCAAGATCAATCGCTTAAGTTCATAAACTTTGAACTTCAAACCAAGCGTCTGATTCAAGCCTAACCAATCCGGAGTGAGCCTAAACTTTGCACACATATCCCAAATGACAAAACAGACATATTCCAATTCCCGAAATATCAATCTGCCCTCGATAGCCTCGAAGTCAACTCCCAGTCAAACTTAAGAATTTCCCAAACCTTCAAATTTCTAACTTTCGACAATTAGAGCCAATCAACCTAGAACTCTCCAAATCCAAATTCGAACATATACCTAAGCCCAAATCCATCATATGAACCTATTGGAACCATCAAAACACGAATCCAAGGTCATTTACTCAAAGTCAAACCTTAATATTCTTCCAACTAAAAGCTTCTAAATTCAGAATTACTCTCCCAAATCAACTCCAAGCCTCTTGAAAATCGAAACCAACCATATACGCGAGTCATAATGCATAATGTGAAGCTACTCAAGGTTAAAACCGCCGAACCAAATGCTAAAACTCAAAATGACCGGTCGAGTCGTTACAACATTTTCTTCACCAAGAATACCATAATTCTTCAATATTGAAAGCTTTAAATTCTTCTTTGGGGGTAAAAACTAGAAGTTAATGATTGATTATAATTAAAATTATTTGCACCTTGATAATTTATGCTTAAAGTGTTAGTTCAAATATTAATTTAGTGATTTACTTTAAAACTCCATTATCGGTCCTTAAAAAGTTTAAAAAAAGATAAAGTGAGTCTTCTTGATTTGGTGTTATTGGACAAAATTAGTGATTGGAATCGTTTGTGTTGGTATTTGGAGGTCTTGTTTCAAACTTGAGATCATTTGGAGGTTTGATCGAAATTAGAGTTGCAATTTCGAAGAACCCTATGTTGAACAACACAAAAAATTTATAAATTAGTAGACTTTGATGAATAATTTAACTAATAGGTCAATTATAGATAACATAAAGTCATGTCAACCTGGTAAAGTTTGGTGAACAATTGAACAAGCACAAAATTATGCTAACATGGTAGAGTTTGTGTACAATCTAATAAATATATTGAATGCAGTTAACACAAAGTCATGCCAAAACAATCACAAACACTACTAACAATAGGACAAAAATCGATCGCCAAAACAGACTGATGTTGGTCGGTAATTGGCAAAAATCGATCGATTTGTAACAGTCTGTATTCGTGCGGTCGGTAGAGCTAACCGACCGATTTCGGCCGGTCAATTAAATTCCACAGCTGACAAAAAAATCGACCAAAAAATTGACTGACATTGGTCAGTTTTAACCGACAGAAATCAGTCAATTTTTTTAAATTATTTAATTAAAAGATGCACCATTTGAGAATCGAACCGGGATCTGTACTATAGTATGATGCTATTCTACCACTAGACTATTGGTGCTTTTTGGTTTAAAATTTTTTTTTATTTTATTTATACTCTTTAATTGTATTTTTGCGCGAAAATAACCTCTCGATTTCGGTTGGTTTTGTTAAAAATATAAAACTACAGACCGAATCAGTCATTTTTTAAAAGGCAGAATGGCCTAAATGGTACCTATACTTGTGTCACTTTGTCATGCCGGTCCCCAAACTCAATAATTTGCCAATTGCACACTTACACTCCTTCAAACCGTGTATAATAAATGCTTATGACAGGAGGCTGTCAGTGCATGTAACACAATCTCCTCCACTTTGGCTGCCATGTCAAAAAATAACAATGTGTAGATGCCATGTCAAATAATTAAAATTAAAAATCAAAATAAAAAAATAAAATTCAAACATTAATCCCCTCCCTCAAATGGTGCGACTGCTGTGAGCAGTAACACAACAACGGCAGAATGGCCACTGTGCTGTCGTCCGGTGGTGAAAAGCTACCGGACCAGTCCCAAAAGATGCGTCTCACCATTGAGCATAAAACCCACCTAGGCGCCCCTCTTATTTCTTCCCAAGCTGCTGCAGATTTCAACAATGGTGGATCGAGTACTGTAGCAAATAATCGCATGGGCAAAACTGATATTTATCATATCGGTTTTGCTTCAAATCGAGTGATTCCATGCAGTGGAGATTGTTCTCCACTTCAAATACCATCAACCCACCAAGTTTCAGGCAATTTCAATGCCGGAATAGTCTCCTCCAACCAACTGAATATGGCCGACGAACACCAGTTGGTCGAGCATGGAGCTACAGGTGTCCAAATTGAACAAGACCAATGTCAATTGACTCCAACTGAGCAAGTGATTGATGTCAAACGATCAAACAACAACTACAGTGAACCAATCATCACAACAATTCAAAAAATAAAATCTGCAAAATTGCAGACACCAGGTGTTCGACGAAATACTAAAGTCAGTTTTAACAAGTCTTGCCTTGTTTGATTTTTGAAATTGGGGTTAAATTTTCTCAAAAAACTCTAATCTTTTTAAAGGATTAATTGGTAAAAGATATATAATTTGTGCTTTAAAATCCTTTATGGGTTAATTTTGAAGTGTGGTGATTTTTGAGGATTTTTCGGTTGACCATTTTTTTGGTTTGTTAGTATTTTGATAATTTGATGTGTTTCCCTTCTACAAAAGGGGCATATAATTGAATTTTAAAAGAGATCTGAATTATTGGCCAAAGGATTCTAAATTTATGATAAAGTTTCAGATTCGAGGGAAGAAACAAATAAAGAAGATAACGGAGGGGAGAAAGAATTGGATAGAAAATGTTGAAGAGAGAGAGAGAAAAAAAGAATTGAACATAAAATATTGGAGAGAGAGAGAAAAGAAATAAAGAAAAGCTCACTTTTGTTCAACAATGGAGGATAAACAATCAGGAAGAAGATGACAGCCAAAATATGGCTCTTGGTGCTTTTTAAATAGGCCTCACGCTCCTTAAACGAGTGTAGCACACACACTTCAGTAAAAAATGCCACATAGGATGAGCGGGGTTTAAAATGCCCAGTTTTTAAGGGTAAAGGGATTTGGTTGGCAAACTTGTAAGTATGAACACCGGCATGACAAAACTAGACAAGTCCAGGGGCCTCCCAGGCTATTATGTCTTTTTAAAATGACTGACCAAATTAACCGACCTATTTTGATCGATTTTTTGAATATTAATTTTAATTTAGTTTAAATGAAAAACCGACCGAAGTTGGTCAATTTCTTGAAAATCGAGATGCAAAAATAACTTCCTTCATTTTGGCGCCAAAAAACTCGATCAAATTTGGTCGGTTTTGTAAAAAAAATCTAAAAAAAAAATATTCTGAAAAATCGACTAACATCGGTTAGTTTTTTGAACTACTGAAATAAATCGGTCGGCCGCGTTCGATTTTGGCCGAATTTTCTAGTAGTGAAAGTCATGCCAACTAGATAGAATTTACGAACAATTAACAATATAGGTAGAGTAAATATTACATAAAATCTATCAATCCGGTAAAAAATCCTTGACAAGCAATATGTGTATGTGGGACCGAGGTCATTTTCTAAATACTTAAAAAAACGGAAATAATATTTAAAGACCAGCCCTTATAAGACAATTTCTGTCAATCACCCAATAAACAAGGCGAAGTGCAGCAATAGCCACTTTAAACCTGCTATTTAAAATATATCCACAATTTACAATATATTTAAAGATTAGCCAATTCACCCAAACTTCAGGACTAAGTATCCTGAATTTGGAAATTCGGGACTAAGTGTCCGGAATTTCTGTACCACTAATTTAAAATTCAGGACATAAGATTCGAACTCCAGGATAATTTTTTTGAACTTTAGGACACGATGTCCTGAATATCTGAACTACTAATTTAAAATTCAGGACAAAAGATTCGAACTTCAGGACACAATTTTCGAACTTTAGGACACGATGTCTTGATGTTTGAATTTTGAGGTTTCAACTCTAGGACGTTGTGTCCTGAAATTGGAGCAAAATTGGCTAATCTTGAAATATATAGTAAACTGTGAATATATTTTAAGCAACATGCTTAAAAGTGGCTACCTAATGTCCTTTACGCCAATAAACACATAGTGAGATTTTATCAAATTACAACTTTATCGGCTAAATTTGTAGGGCTTCTAATCGACTTGGTGGGCTCGTAACCCGCCAAACCCAAAACCACACTGTATTAGGCAATAGTGAGTCTAGGCAATAGTGAGTCTAGTGAACTCTGAACTCTGCTGAACTATATTAAGAAGGGCGCGGTGGAATTAGCCGGAAGTAAAGGCAGACAGACAGAGACATTGACAATAAGCATGGGAAGTGAAGAAGAGAGCACAGTGAAAGAGCCGTTGGATCTCATCAGACTCAGCTTTGATGAGAGAATCTACGTCAAACTCCGTTCAGACCGAGAACTCCGTGGCAAACTTCACGTATTTTTACTCCTTCCTTTCCTTTATTTCTTTTATCTTTTCTTCTTTTCGAAGATAAATTGAACGTTATGTGATGGTAATTTGTCTGCTTTTACCAAACGTCTTACTGACATACTGTAGAAGTTTAACCCTTTCCCTTTTTCGTTCTTTTAATTTAATTCCTGGATTAGGGTTTTGGCCAACATTGCTATTTTTTCGCTCAATATTCTATGTTCAGGTCTGTAATATATTTTTTGTTTTTAGAATTTAATTTTTGGCGGCTTAAACTTCTTCCGTTTTCCCTATATCCACCTTTTTTCTACTGTAGTGTCCCGACCAGTTTTAGCGCATCTCGACTAATTCTATGGGATACTTGCTACCTTCCACTAGCAACATGTATCGACTTAAGTTTACCCACCAAGGCTGGGATAAATGGGAAGAAATCACCTGGTGTTTTTGTCTCCACTGATTTGAACATGAGATCTCATGTTCTCAACCCACTTCAATGACCACTAGGGCTAGGCCATACCCTTGGGTGCCTATATCCGCTTTTTATTTGCATTTTGTTGCAAAGGGGCAGGGGGCAGGGGGCAGGGTGTGGTTGATTCTTTTTAGTATTATGCATTCAGAAACACTATTTGGGGATAATTATGTGCTACTGCTTATAGAATTTCTTTCTGAAGGATAAATATACTATGGTTTTTGGGTAGCCTTAGTATTAACCAGAAAGAAAAAAAATATTTCTCTGCAGTCTTCTCTAAATGTTGACATCTAATTAATAAGTAAAATAACTCCAAAGCAATTTCCACCTAGCTTCTCCAGTGGTGTTAATGAATAATTTGATCCTGGCACATGACATGTTTTGCAAAAAATTGTGTGGGGTAGCCCCACATGGGGCTGGTCTTAGTGGAATGTCCCCGTAATTGGCGGTATTTAATAAATGGCCCCCGTGTCCTTTCCTTTGTGTAGGCTTCAGCCTAGATCTACCGACACAGCAGGATTTAGTACCAAATGCTATATTGTAATATAAAATTTATAAAAAGTTCTACCATTTTGTCATACTGTTCTGTACCAAATTGCATTTTCGAAAAACACTTTGTTGAATAACATGAATTATGACTATCATATAGATTTTGATGAACTATTTAACAGATAGGTCAATTGCAGGTAACACAATATCATGCCAGTATGGTAGAGTTTGATGAACAATTAAACAAGCACAAAATCATGCCAATTGGGTAGAGTTGTGAACAATATAACAAATAGGTGAAATGCTGATAATACAAAGTCTTGCCAATCTTGTAGAATTTGGTGAACAATTGAACAAGGACAAAATCATGCCAACGGGGTACACTTTGATGAACAATTTAATAGATAGGTAGAGTAGATATAACATAAACTCTACCAATCTGGTAGAGAATCCCTGAAGAGCAATAATTGTGTGCCCCGTTCCGAGGCTATTTTTTAAATACCACCAATTACGGGGGCATTCAGCTAAGATCAGCCCCTTACGAGGACATTCTTGTCATTCACCCCGTGTTTTGTTGGTCCAAAAGTCCTTTGATTTTGATTTCTCAGTATCTCGAAAGTAATTGATTTTGATTTCTCAGTATCTCGAAAGTAATAAAATGTGTGAAGATAGAAATAATTAGAAAGATTGAGGCAGAATAGGATTAAGTATTTTTAGAAAAAGAGCAACTAAGAGGTAAAATAACCCACAGTGTGACCTAGTGGTCAATGAAGGGGAGGAGAACCATGAAGTCTCAGGCTGAAATCCCCAAAAAGACAGAAGAAAGAATACAAAAGAAAGCTGAGCAGGAGGGCCAAACCAAAAAGACCAGCAAGGGTTTCAACAAAGAACGATGACAATGACAATGACAGAATAGCAAAATGAACTAACGACATCTGAATGATGTTACTGCAAAATACTGGATATTGTTTTGATCTTGAATGACCATTATGGAATAGAAAATGGCTCTACAACTCTGCATAGTTTTGTTAATTTGAAGGAAGAATAGCCTAGTAGACTCATGTACTTGTTCGCATTTGTCATCCCGGTCCCTACACTTAACAGTTTGTCGAATGAATACTTATACTTGTTCAAAATAAGGTTTTCAAATACCTCTGACCATTGACCCAGTTTATGTGGCATTGATATAACTGAGTTGGAGAAAATGTGTAATATACACGCGCATAAGGGGCGTGAATTGATTTAAAAAGTACTGAAATCAATTCTATGAAAAAAAAAAAGCAAAAAAAACAGAAAAAAAAGAAAAGAAAAAGCTATCAATTTCATCTTCCTCCCAAAGTACCCAAAAATTAGTCTGCTGCTACCGCCCCTAGCCCTCCTCCTTTCCTTCCACGGCTGCCTACCTTCTCCCCTTCCACAACTGCTTCACATCTTTCTTCCTCCTTTCCTTCCACAACTGCCTACCTTCTCCTCTTCCACAACTGCTTCACATCTTTCTTCCTCCAACCACCAAAAATATTTTATTCAAGAAATCCCCCACCAAAGAAAAAGAATAAAAATCATCCCCCTCACACAAACACACTCATCAACCCTTACAAAAAGGGTGGGTGGGGAGAAGACAACAAGATAAACAGTAAATAAGAGAGTGAGATAGACCTCAAACAAATAGCAAATAATTGATCTTCAATTCAATGGGGTTTTCAAAGGCACATTCTCGTTCACTGTTGGTACGATTTCAGAGTGTACTTGGCTCAAAACTACAACGTTTCCAATATTCAGAATCTCGTTGACACTGGCCTTATCATCGCTAAGCATCTTGTCTTGAAGAGAATTATCGCAAATTCAGAAAGAGGGCAGATGATGAAGATTAGTCCATGGTTCTTTTCGGTGTCGTTTTATTAATTTTTCAGTTGCTTAAATTTTTGGGAGGGTTTATTTTTTGGAAATTTACTGAATTTTTATTGTCTTTGTTTGTACGATTCACGAATGAAATTCGAAGAATTTTTTCTTTCAATTGTTTTGCTTTGCCAATTGATGAGTTTGGAGGGGAAAAAAATAAGGGTGTCCTAGACTAGAAATGGAATGAATTTGAGTTATTTTAAAAGAAATAGTTTTTGTAAAATTAAAAAATAATGTGGCATATTTTATCTGACGTGTATATTAATATGAGGGCGTTTGAGAGACACGCAAGGTCGGAGGGATTTAAAGTAATGTGTTTCAGTAAGTACAAGTGTCCAATCGACAAACTGTTGAGTACAAGGACCGGGATGACAAACACGAATAAGTACAAGTATTTACCAGGCTATTCTGCCTAATTTCAATAAAAGAACAATATTCAAAAGTCCACTTGGAATTAAACGCATACAGAAATTAAAGTATATTTTTTATTTTGTGCCTTTACCTAGAAATCTATAATGAGGCAATATTTCTGCAGTGACGCTAAGCTTTCATCGGGTTTTCTTTGCAGGCTTATGACCAACATCTTAATATGATTCTTGGTGATGTTGAAGAAATTGTGACCACAATTGAGATTGATGATGAAACATATGAGGAGATAGTTCGGGTAAGCGCTCTCTCTTTCGCTTTTGGTTTCTGATATATGCCTTTTCTTTTATTGGTCAAGGCACCACATGTTTCTATTTAAGATCTTTGTAATCAATTTGACTCACACTTGTAAAAGTGTCCGGCATTTTAAGATAATTATCAGAAAATGTGATAAATTGACTTGGAAAGTCAGTTGTCCAATGCAATAATAACAACTACGTCTCAATCCTAAGCTAGTTGGTATCTACTATATGAATCCCACTCTGCATGTTGCTCCATTTAGGTTTTTTTGCGTCCAATATCTCACAATTTAGATTTTCTATCACTAGAAGCTCTATATTTCCAATGGTATACAAATCCTTAACAAAATTAAAAGACTCCTAAAGTATATTGGACCTAGAGTAATCATACCTACATGACTAAGACTAATTTAAACTACTACTCTATCTCATTTTATGTGAAGGTATTGCTATTTGGGGAAATTAAACAATTTTTTCTTTGACTACAATTTTCTCAAACTTTTTCTTTTAACATATTTTTAATAATTAGTTATGTTGACTTATAGTACTTTTTATGTTGTTTGCAAATATGTAATTTTTTTTTAGAAAAATATAAAGAATCAATGCACAAATTCACATCGTATATCAAGTGTTTTGACCCTTTTACTCCAACCCCTTAACATAAAGTAATTAGTATCGCTATTATGAATCTTTTTCCTTCTGTTGTGTGCTATTTTTTGCTTAGTCTGTACGCAGTCCAATAATTTGTAGATCCTTTGAGTCAATTTCATTCCATATGATTTTAGATCAGTTTGAATCCTTGTAACACCTTCTATCACCACGGGTTCACACTTGCAGATGGGTGCATCTGGAGGTTTACTAAGACATATACTATCTCAAGCGAGCCTTCTTTCATTTCCTCCTATGTGTACTACTTTCACCTTTTGCTAGATATGATAATTTCTATCATGCATGACTACATATCCATCTTAACATTCGCTTTTCTAGGACACTCATCTCGTGGATATGTTGCACTTGAGATGCCTAATATTCATTGTGAAATTACCGACAGTGTTATTAAAGGCGAAAAAGGGCAAAAAAGCTTTAAGGTCTGTAGAGGCTTTAAGCGCAAAGCGCAAATAAAGCATGGGCTTTAATGAAGAAAGGCGCAAATGGAGAAAAACTACAAATATGTATGTGTAGTCCAAGACTAATATCTATAAGCATGAATACCAAATATACGGACAAAGAAATTGAAGAAAATTTACGATAAAGTGAAATATCAATTGTTTAGTGTCGCGTCTTCCGGATTACGTTCGTTAGCAAGGAAAAGTATGTCTTAGAGCCTTGATGACAACACTGAAGTGCCCGTTAAGCGAGGCGAAGCGCTCAACATGTTTTGAGCCTCGCTTCAGGGCTTAGGCGCGCCTTTGATAACACTGATTACTGGTCTTACAATATTCTACAGAATTTGCGTTTCATTTTGGTAGGTATCTTCCTATCGCATATCTTTCTGATTGCACTTCTCTATTTTCAACCCGTCTATTTTGGTTGTGTGTTACATCTTTGTCTATCTACTATCCTTTTGTAACCTCGAGCTAAATATTAGAATTGTTTGCATTCGTCCAATGTCAACAACAATTTATGTACATAATTCCAATTCCAATATAAGTTATATTAGTGATCAAATATCGCCTTTGAACTTTTGGTTGTTATCATCCAATATACTCCTTTTTTTTTCTACCACTGTTCTTTCTTTCGGTTTTTGGGGGGGG